CGAAAGTCATATAATGCTCTAACCCGCGAAACGCTAGGTGGTTGAGGAAGACCTTTGTCCTAAAATAGTCAAATTTAATTGGAATAAAATCAAATAAAATAAAATTAGGTATTTAATACAATATATGGTAATATTATATGAAAACAAAATTGTTTCCAAACCTGGGTACTCGAATTTAAAGAGTGTAGAGATTTTCCCTTTAGGTTTAGGTTGAGGTGTTAATTTATATGAATTTTTGGATTTAATATACCAATTTTAAAATCAATTTCCTACCGATTGAATGGGCTTTCTGTCTGTACTGTCTGCCATTGAAAGTCTCAGCGCCGTTTTGAGGTCTTCTTCTTCTTTTCTTCTTCGCTTATCGGCTTCAATCTATCAACATACAAATCGTAAGTCTAATGGTACAAAGTATTTCGTAGTTTGTATAAGATAACAATTACTTACTTCACTTGGTTCTTTTTGAGGTTTCTGAGGTGGAAATTGGAAATCTGGCAAATACATAAATTAGAATATTAGTAACATTCAATTCTTCACTATCATAAAGTTATAATTGAAAACGTTGGTCGTTCTTACTTTGCGATCGCAATTGCCTATAAGTTTCGTCCATAATACTTAATGCTGGGTTTGAACGAAATTCAGAACTCCATTCTTGAATCAGGTCAAGTGTTCTGTTCTTTACTAAATCGTGGGTATTCTAGTGTTTTTTTTTTTTTTTTTTTGTTAAAATATAAATATATATATGTATGCATATATATAAATGGTAATTGATAAAATTATAGCATCAAACTTATCAATTGATTTAGAATACCAACCCTATCATTTAACATTTTTGTTAGAGTTGACGTAAATGTGCGTGAACAGACTTCCTTATGAATACTGATCCCACATTCTTTAACAAGAGTATTGGTTAACTATTTTTTTTAAAAAAAGCATACATGGATCAGATACTATTACAAAAAATTGGTAAAAAATAAGTTCGTAAAAAAAAGATCTAAACTTACTGTTAAAGCATATAGTTGAACATTGGCATTTCGATGAAGTAATCGTTTCTGAATGGATACGATACAATCTCGAGAGCTATTGTTTGAAATTAGTGATATATTACAGCTTTTCTTTGGAGACTGAATCAAAGAAGGTATTTCAAGTTCAACAAAACTGTTAATACCCTTGGTCACCAGCCTTATATACTTTCTCGCATACAACACTCATCAACGACCAGTCCTCTTTAGTGAGCTTCTCGTCGGTCGCAGCGACTAATCGCAAATAAAGTTAATTTTTAAACTGTGATTCACAGTAAATGACCAGTATTCAACTAAACATGATATACGTACTGACACACTCATCGAAAGCGTTTGCGTTTGAAAACATATTTAAAGGATTTGAAATGAAGTTTAAAAAAAGCTTTGAAAATGAAATTTAAACTGAAGTTTAACGAAAAAAAGAGTTTATAGAGTTTCTATTGCTACTACGTATGTGTAGATAATTACGCAACCTACGTAGGTCATCTGATGTTGCTGTATCACTATTCCGCAGTTTGAACCTTCTAGAACGATATTTTAACTTTTTT